CATTATTTACTATACCATTCATCCATTCATGTCAAAAGCAAAATGAAAGGAAAGTGGTCTTCTGATCAAAGGGTGTCAGCGAATTTTTAGGTGCTTGCTGTAGTGTAAGTTACAAAAAAAATTTCTAAACTTTTACACAGTAAATTTTGGTCCATGTCATCTGTAGTTAACTTCAAAAAGACAGACATTCCCATATCTGAGGCCAGTTGAAACATTTGTGCATCAACTTGATGAATTCATTTTGTAACTTATACCCCATTCACACCAGAAAACTTGTTTAGTTAAACCAGGTTTAACTAAATAAAAATCAGAAGCAGAGAACTGAAAAACTAAATTTTCCACGAGATTCAAGCAATTGCTAAATTGTATTTTCAATGTGCCACATTTGAAGTCAACCAAATATTGATTTGAGCAGCTTCTATGGAGCTGTTGTGTTAAACCATGTTTAACAAAACAGCTTTAAAGCATGTTTAGGCTTTGGTGTGAATGGGGTATTATATTTCGTTTTGTTTAAGCTTGAGCAAGAGCACAAGAAACATTACTTAACATCGGTTGACTGTACATAACTGTATCATTTACAAAATGTAGTCATCAAAGTATTTTTTTATGCCAAGACCTATTCTTCTATGTGAAGGGCTTTTTAGGCAAGGAAGTGGTATAAACATGACTGATCCCAATTTCAATTTCTAACACGTAATGGAGTGAGTCAAGAACCAATACCTTGGACACGACTTGATGCGGACGAAAGATAAAAAAACCTTATCCTATAGATTTCTTAATTGACCATTCATAAAAGGAAGTGTCACAGTGGTTATCAAGCTTGATCATTCTTTAATATTTTTGTAACTCCATAAGGAACGAATCAAATTTTCCATTTTTGAAAGGATTTAATTATAGCCTCTCACTGTAAGCTAAACTGTCAAGAGTCTTTGAATTAATTCTAAACATTCATTTCAAAAGAAAAGAAATTTTCTCTATGGTAACTGAGGCATCCCATTAGCTTTTAGCAAAAATATTTCGAAGCAAGTTTCGTGAAGAAGTAATCCCACGTAAAAATTTCTAAGATGCTCTCAAAGGGGTTAACCGTCAACCGTCAAATGGTCAAAATATTAACTGTCAAGGTCAAAAACGCTATATTTTTACCGCCAACCGTTAAAGTGCACCTTGACCCAAAATTTTTTATTTCGCTTAACGAAATCAGCGTATTTTTTGTAGTATTTCTGTGCAAACATTTTTTTTATTTGCTCAATGCTTCAATTGTCTGTGCCCAGTCAAAATACGGAAAATCGGCCGCCATCTTGCCCCACGGCCGAGTTTAAAGAGGAATGGCTCTAGCAGGTAATGTGACGTCAAATCGAGAACACGAAAGTCTGCATTTCACATATTTTCACTGGTTTGAGAAGGTTGTCGTCGATATTGTCCGAAATATGCCGACTAGGAGTGTTGTATGAAGAATNGGGGGGGGGAAGGTAATCCTCTGATAATAATACCCTGATACCCTGGGTGCTCTGTGACACTATTAATACTTCGATTTCGATGTGTAAAGACCCCATGTAAAGCATTTTATCTTATCTATTAAAACTACTGATCCTCCAAACAAGTGGTCAGTGTGAGTCTTGAAAAATCTCTGAGCAGTTTGCAGCCGCAGCCATCATTCTAAAATGCTGCATACGGTTGACTGTATAAAGTCAGCTATCGGCCGGTAGCTTCCCGCGTACACCAGGCTTGGCAAGTGTACTTTTACTAGCACTTTAAATTGGATTTTTTTTATCAGGTACATTTTATAAACCTAATATTGTGTATTCAAAAATAATACGAGCCCAGAATGTCTCCATCAAAATCAGTGGCATGTTTAGCCAGATGTCAACAGATCACGGTCATAGTCTCCATTTGTCATTCGCTCGTTGTCGTGAGCGAAATGCCGATACAAAATTTCTGTTTCGCATAGCTAGACGTACGTAACTTCACACAGATTTTATCACCTGTAGATATATATACTTCTAAACAAAATAAACTCTACGGAAATTGAGTAATTCTGAGCGGAGACATGCCCGCCTGCGAGATATTTTAAGCGATTTTCGCTAGAAATTCGAATCGTGAAAAATCTCGATTTTTTAAGGTTTTCCTGAAACATTAATATTTTCGAACATGGATATCACATCCTCTTCAAATTTAGTTGACTCCAATGTGTATACTATTCATTTGAAATTGGCCAAGATTCTTAATTATATCAGGACCCAATAGTCTCTGAGCAAATTTGAAACTTCATGGACGAACTTACCCCAACTTTATAGGAAAAATCGTTACCTGACGAGGGAATTCCGCGTTAAATTGCAAGCGGAAACCGATATCGCACGAATCGTGATATCGGTTTTCAAGTGCAGTTTAACGCGGAATTCATGAGTCAGGTAATGAATTTTCCCTGAATCGCATAACTGAATGAAAAATAAGAAAACAAGAAATTAAATCGGCAATATTATTGTTTTATCCCGAGCGCGCGCTCTAGAGAGCCATTTCAAAGCCATCTGTCAGAAGTGTCATCATGTTAGCGAATAGAAAGCAAGGTTAGTTGTACACGTTTCAACCATCGACAGTTTTGTTTGTACCACGTGCTTGAATTTAGATTAATTTTCAAACTTTTTAAACAAGCTTCACAAGTAATTGTGGTATTTCACTGGATTTACAAGCCGTTTATCTTTAACATCGTTTTTCAAAACTCCAAATAATTGGCTCGAGAAGGAAAATAATTTACACCTTTTACTTCTTTGGAGGGGAAACTGAGAGAAATGAACTTTGCAAGCGAAAGCACTAATTTAAAGTGCAATAACATCGTGATTAATCGCTGTGTCTCTATGTTCGGCAGCCGGACAGTGTTTTCAAAATACGCCGTGTCCGGCAGTCAATTTCTCTTGAATTTTCTGTTAATAATATCAAATCCTTCTTTATATGGCTAAAAACTTCACTATTTCCACCGTAATGTGAGTTTTTGTGTGCTCGGCATCCGGTATGCCGGTATTCATAACTTTGAAGCTCGCCGCAAGCTTCCGGACAGGAATTGAAAATACTCCATGTCCGGCAGTCGAATGTTTTCCCGAATTTCCTTGCATTCTGAGGTCTCATTACATCATATGTTTTCTAATAGTTCCTCTGTTTTAACTCCCTCCCTAAGCCTAACCCTTAGAGGCCCGTGGGGGAGGGAAGGGGGGTTCCAGCAGTCTCGTGTACATAAAATGGTGCAGCTCCAATCTTTCCAGTCCGTAGTGCGCAGTCTGAGCACCCTAATGTAATAAACATTATAAGTCTCACTCAATGGAATGCGAATCAATGTTATCTTGTACGAATGACATATCTTGTCTCTGAGTCCTTTCAGATTCTTTTCGCAACACCTTCATTATTTTTTACAGCTGCGAAGTTGCAAGGGAACAGGAGTGGCGCAATGGCTAGAGCGCTCGCCTCCCACCAATGTGGCCCAAGTTCAATTCCTGGACCCAGCGTCATTAAAATGGGCCAGGGGCCCATGGGCTCCTGGTGGGTGGAGTTTGTTGTTGGCTCTCGTCCTTTCTCCGAGGGTTTTACTCCGGGTTCTCAGGTTTTCCTCCCTGTTGGGAGTGTCATGATACCTGTAAGCACGCGTTACGTGCCTGTCCTGTTCTCGGGAATCATGGGATTATAAGACATGTGCTCGCAAGTCTGTAGTTTTGGCTGAACAGATGTGGATTAAAGTATTTGTTGAGTTTTATCGAATTTTTTATCCTTGTGGTGACCTAAACCATTCAAAATTTTCCCAACACTCCCTCTACAAAAACCATTAGTTCTAAATTCTAATTCGATCTTCATGCATGAACAAGTTGTAAAGAGCTCGTGAACGCATCCCTTTTTCATCAAGTGATATGAGAAAGATACGTGCCATAATGGCGATTGACATAAAACTTTGAATTTACCTCATGTAATTAGTTACGAGATGTCATACATTTTTTGATGTCTTACATGAACCAAAACAAACAAACAAACAATCAATTCTCGAGAGTGTGCAGTACGGACTGGCCACAAAGAGTTAGGGTTAGGGGGGAGTAAGTGTTAAAAAAGAGGAACTATTAGAAAACATATGATGTAATGAGACTTCAAAATACAAGGAATGTGGACTAAAACATGATTCTTCGAAATTTTCAGGGGGGCATACCCCGCACTCTGGCGCTCGCAAACCACCCTCCCATTAATCAAATACCATGAATGACACCAATTCAATTTGCTATTCTCTAGGCAGACTCTTCTTTGAAAGATCCAAGTTTCACTTTAAGGAATTAATCTTGTACTCAAGGAAGGAATCCATAGAAATATGTCTCCTACCTTTTCTATAAATGTTACAGAATCTGTTGGCCAGTAGCCTTTCCACCATCTTCTCTGATGTTAGTGCTCTCATTTTGATTAGGAAGAGAGGGGTGGTGTATATTATGCAATAACTTTTTTAAGAAAATAAGAAGCACGGTTATAATAAGAACTGTTATCAAGAAAAAGGAAGCCCAGAGGTTAACCCTATACAAAGATCTCCTAAATAGAAAAGAAACTACAGAAATATAACAGTGAAAAAATAAAAAAATACATCAATGTAAAATAATGCTAGTTTACAAAAATATTTTTATTTTGATTGTTTTAATCAGAGATTTACCATAAGGTAGGTGTAGAAACAATAGGACTCTAAGTCCCCTTATAGGTTTTTACACCCTGGAAACCCAACCCCAAAAATATAGTTTCGATTACTAGGATGAACCCAACCCACTACAAAGAAAGGAGAAAAAAAAATACAAAAAATATATCGAGACATTAGCAAGAACAAATAGAGGACACATTAACTTTACGACATTTGGGGCAGATTAACTTAAATGTGCGGACATTGTCTCCATCGAAAAACTGATTCAACCCAAGAGAATAAAAAGGGTGATTTGAGCTTAGTTTTAGAGGAAGATAGCGTGGTTTCAGTTTTAACATGATCAGGAATGGCGTTCCAAATATTTGAAATCCTGATGAAAAGTGAATCCCTAAAAAGGCGAGCTCTAAAATATGGAGTTGCCATATATCGCCCCATAGTACCACGACGTGATTAGGTATTACAAAATTTAGCATAGCTATGCAAGTTAAGGCTAACAGTTCTTAATTTACATTTAAAAAAGAAAATAACATGTAGATATTTAAGCCAATAGTTAACAGGTAATAAATTGAGATGAATTAATCTATGTTTATAGTCCATGCTCGTATCTTTACAGATAAATTTGGAAGCACGTCTTTGGGTCCTTTAAATAAGCATTAAATTCTTAATAACTGATTGGGGGGCCCGGACGGTAGAGGCAAAACTGAAATTTGATCTTATTAAAGAAGTATATAGCAATGTAAGACTTTTTTTTGTTCTTGATTGTGTGGCAGACCTCTTAAGAAACCCCAAAAGTTTGTCAGCTTTAGAGACAGTCAGGGTAATGTGATCGTTTCATGTGAGGTCTTTAGTGACTGTAACTCCAAAGTCCCTCTCTTTCATGACAAGCTTCAACTCGGTATTGTTTAGTTTATATACACGTGGTGGGCTGATCTTTTTGCGACTTATTCTTAAATTATGGCACTTTGTTGGCTGG